TATTCTAGTTGTTTCCATGTATTCGTGTCAAGCATTGCATTAACCAGGATGACGGAGCGCTTCACAGAGTTGTCAGTAAGGTGGGACGTGGGATACATCAGGAACGGCCGATTCCGGCTTGTAATTCGGCCATATTTACGCAGCGCCACGAGCGCTACTAGTAGCCTACGTCACCTACGTAGCTGACTCTGGGTTCCATGTAGCGCCACAGATCGTTATGTGGCGCTGCTGCCCGCACTAGGTAGACCTACAGCTTCCTACCTTTCTATAACTCCCATACGGCGGCGACAACACCCCTGCTAACCAATATTGGCAAGGTATGTCAGGTGCAAGTTACTTGGATAAGGTCAAGGACTCGGAGTGTAGGTCGATACCACGTAGACATCCGGCGATAAGTACTACGTTCTTTTTACTCTGGACTCAACTAGTAACTGACGGAAAACGCCTTATCATCAAGGTAGCCTCTTCTCTCGAACGGCCGCCTGATTGTTGCGTATCAGATACGAGTGTCATGCTCTTATGGCAGCGGCCCGGGTGCATGTGGTTCGCGTTCATTGTCTTTTTACTCTGTACTCAACTAGTAACTGACGGAAAACGCCTTATCGTGAAGGTAGCCTCTTCTCTCGAACGGTTTCCGGCCTTGCAACATCGCGCGGGGCCGCAAGACTCCCTTTCTTCAGTCCGGAAGCTGTCATACTCCTCCTCCTCTTCGATTCGCCACGATACTTCCCCGAGTTCTTCCTGTTTGAAGCTTGTGGAACCCATTCAGATGGGCTGCGTTCCACGTTCGATCTTTCAAACGTATCCACAGAGCTCAACGAGCTGGGAATTTCCTCCTCGCTCACCCACTTGCTCGGAAGTGGGTGTCAAGCGAGGAGGAAATATATGGATGAGGAGACGGGACGAATGCTCGGCGACTGACCAGCATTCTGCTCGAGTGAGGCTGCAAACCTCAGTGAGAGACATGTGGGATAGTTCAAGTAATGGGAGCGTGGGCTACTAGAGAGGTGCGTTTATTGTTATTTTATGATACATTGTCGACTAATACAAAGTCTCCATCGCAAAGTTGAAACATGTATATACTCTGGTGCGAATTTAAGAAGAAGTGGCTGCATTTTTCAAGCACTGTTCGTGCAGTCCAACCTCTATCTCGCTGGTGTGGCTTGCCAAAGATGGGAGTCAGAGCACAACTGCGCCGAATGGATGAGATCGGAATAACAGCGGCTTGACGGCGACCTTGGCGCATGGCGTATGACACTCGCGACATACGCAATGGGACAACTGGCGGTTTGAAAGGTGTGAACCATTCAATGTAAGCAAGAGTATCAGTACACCCGAACCAGGAAGGTAGGCGGAACAGAACGCGGACACGCGCTGCACGATACCCTAAACAGACGTGACTGTGAGACCATGATCACATTCCCTGGGTCCGAGACACACCTTTGATTCCAACATCCTCTGCCACACCGTCTTCATGGACAAGAACGCAATCAAAATGGTCTGGCTCCGACTTCTTCCGTCCAGGATTCGGATGACCTGGTGTTGCTCGGATCGTGTCGCGCTGGGTCTCATCAGTAAGCCGCTGGGCCTTCCGAGAATAAAAGGCCTTGCGACACACCCCACATTGGAACACATGGCACACATGCATGGCCAACACTCGCAAGTTTTTGCATTGAAATTGGAGCCGGGCTTGCATCCCCGTTCACCAGACATGTGACCGGTTTCGGCCTCCCCAGTTTGTTGTTTCTTTGTCTCGAACCACCACACTCATACCAATGCCAGCTCGACGTCCACTCAAGGAAATTGATCTCATACAACAACAGAAACACAAGATATATCTACTAACAATGTGATTGCCAAACCAAAGACCCAACCTAAACTCGCTGGGCCGGCTTCTCGCAGCCGTGAACGCATCCAAGCCAAAGATGGACTGACAGAGAAAGGACGCGAATACCGTATGTTTCCCTTTGCTCAAAATGCTCACTATGTACATTTCCCTTGCAGGACAACAACTGGCTGAGGAAAAAGAACGGAGGGAACGCAACCAACACAAGAAAGCGGCCCAAGCGGCACACAACAAAAAAGAGCCCAGATCCCAAAAGCACTCTGCCGACGACGCTATCAGTCCTAACCAGTCCCATCGGGCCCCGCTCCCAGACATCATTCGCCCTCGCTGTGACCACCAAGACCATGAGACAAACGATGATGGGGACAATGACGATTATCCCACCGGAGAAGAGGACAATGAGGAGGAGATGGAGGAAAATGGTATGTTGTCACTCAGCTGTATTGTGCGTGGTATGATGAAAATGCCTCGTCATAGGGCCCATGTCCGCACGTGAAGCAGCCCTGGAGAGCGAAGTACGCCCCGTCTTATGATTCCACTGAGTGGATCTTTCATCTCCCTTGCAGTTCACTGCCCCTCGTGACTTTGAAAGAGCACGCCCGACTCAACGCCATGGGAGCCAGCACACAATTGCGGCCAGCTCACCAATCCCCTCCAGTCAGCGTGATCGTGTCATTGTCCCTGCGGGGACAGCGACACGATCATCCCCTGGCCCACGGGGAAGCTCGAGAGAGAGAACGGGCATTGCGCACCCCACTCTTCCACATGTGAGCCAGCACTCTATTGCGGCTGGCTCGTCAATCTCGTCCGGTCAGCGCAAGGTTGTCCCTGACCCGCCGAGTGGCTTTCGAGAGGCGACAACCATCATTCACCGAAAATCCCAGCACTCTATTGTGGCCAGCTCGTCAATCTCGTCCAGTCAGCGCCAAGTTGTCCCTGACACGCTGGATGCCTTTCGAGAGACGACAGCCATTACTCACCAAAAATCCCTGGTCTCCCTAGAGGACAGCAGCAGTGAAGAAGTAACTAATTGGTTGATAAGATGGTCACTGGACTAACCTGGACTTGCGCAGGATACTGCCCCTGCTCGAGGTCTCAAACGACCTCGAACGATGTCCCCCAACTCCGACCCAGAGTCAGAGACACCAGGGAACCAAGTGGATGATCCTGTGGAGGAAGACACACCTGCCGAACGCCAACCCAAGCATCAATGTGACCGTAAAGGACGAGCCCGCCCTAGGGCATCGGATTACGAGGGTTTGGAGCAAGGTGTCTTGAAACTGGCGCAGGCCGAATTCCAGGTTCGAGTGTGTATGGAGTACGTGTTCCCAGAGGAACAGGATGTCGACGTTGAGACCTGGGCCATGGCATGCTGGGACAACGCATGTGAGCACAAAGCTGTCAAATACGAGATGAGCGCCGCCCACACATGTCTGGTGAGCACCAGACCCGTGGTAACTCTGACACTAATGTAGCCAAACACTACAGATTGTGGAGCGCGTTTCAACGATCCGAGGGCGTGTCAAAGACAAGGTAGTGGAACGAGTGGTGAGTCATTATGGGTTTAAAACCACCAATAAAGACTATGTGATTCAAGCCAACAAAGAACTTGCTGGGAAGCTCTTAGAAGACGACGGGTACATCTTCGAGGTGCGTAACCACGCTCTATCCTACTGCTACCTATCAATGCGCCCACAGGACGTAGCCACAAGCATGGGCATCTATGAGCATCCCATCCTTCAGGATGTTATCAATGCCCAATGGTTCAGCAAAAAAAAAAAATCCGACGGCATAGTATTTGGCAGCGCGTTCAACCCCATCCCGGACCCTGTGATTGCGCTTGTCTTCACGGTAGGTCACTGCCACTCTGTCTAAGCCCTTGCAATTCACGAAATCTATAGGTGGAGTACGCGATCAAACAGTGGGCATCTGGGTTTCTTGTCAGTGGATCCCAATTCAGCGAGGTAGACTACCATGACGTGTACAAGCGTCATCTCGATGGCTTGGAGCAATGGCGCCACTTCAGCACACGAACCGCCCAAGCTCTGGCCCGTCACCAACAACGTCTGTACAGTTTTGGGCGGTGCGTTACACTCTTATACTCTTATATCCTTACATTCGAAATCTCACTGACACGAACGCCTCACAGTTCCAGGGCAGGGTTCCACGATGTTCCGGAACGCGCGAAGACGCGTTTCGACAATGCAAAGCTCGCACGAGCGGCTGCGGCCATCCGCGACGCTTCCGACGAAGAATAAATAACAACTTAAACCCCGTGTATATAGACCGAATATCTGACTACGAATTGATGTTATGCCCTAATGCCTCCCGAACCCTGAACGCGCATTACATCTCACCCACGTCGCCCACCGTAGACACAGGACGGCATTATGTATGACTGGTGTAGTGTGCTGTAGCCTCCGCGCGCGGCTACGTGGTTCTACGGCACACTACAGAATCGGGCCCGCACTACGGAGCACGTTGTAATAGGGGGGGAACCTACAGGCCTACAGGTGCTACGTAGGGTACGTACCATTCCATAACACCCCCCGTTTTTCCTGATGTAGAGCACGTGCCAGTTATGATTGGCCTTGTATTTCCCAAGGCGTCGATGTATGGTTCTTGTAGGAGTACGAGGTCCCAACTGTTGTGCAGCGGCGAGTTGATGAGATCGAATTGAGCTTTGTCGGACTTGTTTAGGTTTTGTTGAAAGATTCTCAGTCTCTTCGGTGTGGGTTCTGTCGTATATGACATCAGTTTTGCGTAGGCGGGGGCTGACCTGTTATGTTGCCTGCGTCGCCCCATCGTTGTGTGGGGCCTAAGTCAATGCGGTTGGGTAAGGTGGCAGGGCTGGTTTGCCGCTGTGATACGGGTCTCCCCTGGCCTATGCCTCCCATGGACATAAACACCTAATCATGTCTCCGGGGTCTCTACCAGCGGAGGGGATGGTTGGGGCGGGGGGCATGCGCATGTGCCGGGTGTAGATAAGGCCAGCAAGAGCTGGAACATGGGCAGTATATGTTTGTAGGATGAGCGTTGAATTGGTGGAGAAGGGGCGTGGCTTGGAACGATCGCCCGGTTGGAGATGCAGGAGAGATTTTGGAGTGCCACCAGTCATCGGCGCACACCATGTCTCGCAGAACGCGGAATGATCAACAACTTGGCGCAGTAGGAAGCGCACGGGGCCCATAACCCCGAAGTCCCAGGATCGAAAACCTGGCGTTGGACCGCACGAGTGCACCGCACAGCACCGCATGATACACGCCTCACACCTGACGCGAAGACACGTACGGACATCGTTCTTAGTCATGATATTGCAGACGATATGTGACAGGACAGACCGAGATGGACGATAGAACACGAGAGCCAACCAGCACGTCAGCATAGGACCCGACGTCACATACGACACGATACCACAGAAGAACACGTCAAGATAAAAATGTAGTGGTTAGATCCTAATGTATGCACGCGGGCCTGGCGTGCCGTCATTGTCGAACCATACCTCCGCGGGCTCAAGCAGCGCGAGGTCCACGAGCTCGAGCGTGCGCTTGTGGAAGCGGGCGTCGACGATGGTGTTGGCGCGGGCGTTGTGCGCGCTGAGGTTATGGAGGGGCGTGATCATGCGGCGGGCGGAGGCGGTGGACGCGAAAGACGTGACGGGGCCGGACACGCCGAAGGCGGAGGAGCCGGAGCGCAGAGAGGGCATGCGGCGGAGGGGGTGATCGGAGTCTGAGGTGGGGGGCGACGGCGGCGGCGGCGGCGCAGCATCATGACCTTGCGCTCGATCTGCAGAGAACCGTGGATTGCCAAACGTGGCTGTCGACGAAGAGGCCGTGCCCGTGCCCGGGTGGTCGCGCGGAGGGTGGGCGGGGACGAGCTAGTGCTGGGGATTGAGCGGGTGGTTCGACTTATCCGGGGGGCGGGAGGACGACAATGAAGGTCAAATCTGAAACTGAGATCGTCGAGAGAAAGCCGGCAGAAATAGGCGTGCCTTGTTCGAGGAGACCTGTGTTTTTTCTTGTGCTTGTTCGAGTCCTCGGACGCTTTGGGGGCGTCGTTGAGCCGCTGCTGGCTGGGTGCTTCGTCGGGGAGCTTGTCGAGTCTCTCGGCTAGTGTGGCAGTCAGGGAGGAGGAGAGTGTGGGGGTATAGCGGCGGGAAGAGAGAGGAGAGCGGCAGGAGTCAGGCAATGACGCGCGCTCTTGTCCGGAAACGTATACGTAAGTGCCGCGAAGTCCCACTTGAGTATAGCAGCCTGCACACGACACTGACCACGCCGGAGGCTGCACTTGTATCCGTCCACCCCCCCTGTCCAGCGCGCCGACCGTCGCGTGCGCCGTCGGACCCCGCTCCCTGCTAGCACGCTCCTGAGTGGCGGTCTGCCGGCGGAACGGGGGCTCGGCGGGCATGGGCGTCGCCGTGGGAGATGGCGCCGGGGTAGGTTCGGCGCAAGCCTTGAAGCTCCGACTTCATCTCCAGAGGAGAGGCTTGTACCAAGATGCCGCGCTAGGGGGACCGTCTCCTCACGGTGCTGCGTCGGCCACAACACCTCTCGCGTCAAGGTTCCTTTAGATTATCGTAACAGAGATGTATTCTGACAACTTGTCCTGTGCGAGTAGCTAAGAATCATTTTAATTATGTCGTGATGTATGTGCCTTCTGGGACGAGTGACAAATGGCTTGTGAGGCACGTAGTTGAACCAGTCACTCAAGAATAATTTTAAATAAATTATCGCAATAACCTGTAGTATGTTTTAAAGTGATCCCATAAATTACTTTGCTGCTCGGTGGCCGGTGGGCGCAGCACCGGGCACCTTTCCAGACGATGGTGTCGACAGTTCGTTACATCACGTGACTTTAAGCACGCTCGGGTTTTAAATGGACATCGACGTATGCTGGGGAGATATCCTGCTGTTATCATGCAAAGATGTTCTAGAGGACAGGCTTAGGATCATATTCTCTCCCATCAGTCATCTGGAAGTCTCCTATTATTGTTGCTCTTCTCCCCTTCTTGCCCGAAGGTTTGAAACCATGCCTATCAATGACTCAATTTATTCGTACCACTACTATAATAGCGATCGAGCTGTCCCATTTGCTGCTAAAAATATTTAGGATATCTGGCCTACATTCCCAACTATAGATGTCCTTGAAAATCAGCAAACGGCCATCTGTAACGCGCTGACAAGTGAGATAGCACAATTGTGCCCACCCCCACTATTCCCAATGGGATATAAGACAGTTACTCAGTGATTAAGCATTTCTAACTAGCTAGGGAGCTCAAGAGACATATGGTCTAGTAGATTGTTATAATGAGTGAAGCCGTAGAGAGTGTGTGGCTGGTGGTAGAGGCGGCGGGAGACGGCCCCCCTAGCGCGGCATCTTGGTACAAGCCCCTTCTCCGGAAGGTGCTCGCGGAGCGTGAACTTTGAGTCGGAGATGGGGCTTGTGCCGAACCTAGCGCCGGGGGGGGGGTCTGCATCCTAGGACACGTCCGCCCGGATGCTGCAGAGCCTGAATGTCGATCGATCCGGCAACCTCCCTGCACCGCGCAGAGGCGGCCCTGGCCCTGATCTATTCTTAGCCCGGTGTTGCATGTTGTCTTGGTTTGGTAGTGCTCGCCATTGCCAACATGTTGATGTGGCCAAGCACGACGAAATCTCTATTTGCTCAGAATCGCCAGGTCAATAACACAATGCATGGAAATCCTGTGAAACTCGATGAAGTGTATCTGGATAATGTTGCTTATATCGACTGTGGCTTCAACCAGGTTAGCTTGTTACCGGTGTTCCAATGGAGCTGACATTATGATTCATGACAGCGGATGACTGCAAAATCATGCCAGAGGTCCAATACCGTATTTGCTTGTTAGGGCGCATTGTCTCCATAGTAGTATGTCATACCAAGTTGGAACTGCAAACACATTGCAGATCACCTCAGTAGCTTCCTGGGCCACTGGGCACAGCTCGATATCGCCATGACAGATGATACCCCGAGTGCAAAATATCGTGGATTCCTTGTCATGGTGCTCCATTTGCAATTCGATGGACTCTGTATACAACCTCTTCTCACGTGGCACAGGACATGTCGCCAATATGAGAATCGACATGTGTCCCCATATCCAGCAACATTGACACAAGCTCATACCTCTGCCGAGATCATCCAGCAGAATTACAGCCACATGGATGGCGTTGACATGGCCAGGCTAGATCTCTTATATCATCTCATCTCACTTCCTCTTCAAAGGGAACACACTGGAGAAGTGTCATCTTTTTTTTTTTTTATCCAATTTAACGTCTTTTGGGGCATCACCCTATGTAAGACGGTGTATACAAGTTCCTTCGCTCGTGTTCCTTCTTGCCTTTAGACCTCTTTCTCCGCTTGTGCTCGTTGGGCAGGGCCCCGAGCGTGTCCATGCCTGTGTGGGCGAGGTATGTGTTCTCTCACGCTCTTCATGTCCCTTCTTCTCCCTTGCTCATTCCCCTTGGCCTCTCGTCTCATTCACTGGGAGCAACGTGTTCCCGTACTGCTCCTTGAACCGTCCCGTGTCATGTATGTACCTGAACAAATGCCCTAAGGCTTTATGTCCCCCCAGTAGAGTTCTGACCGAGTCCGCCCCTCGCCCAAGTTTTTTCCTCAGCGCTTTTATCTGTTCGTGGTATGCGGGGCATCGGAATAAATAATGGTGGACGGTCTCGTTCGCATTCTTCACGCTGGACAGGTAGGGGAGTCCTTCTTGCCTATTTTGTGTAGGTGTCTGTTCAGAGCAACATGTCCCGTTCTGAGCTGTACGAGCAGGCTCGCATGTTTGCGCGGCATGTTCTTGGTAATCTTTGCAAACGCTGCAGACGGCATCGTGGGGTCAATCTCATGCGCTAAGCGGGCTCTGGGCGACTTAGCAAACATCCTTCGTGCCTCTAGCTTCAACTCGGTGTTGTGTCTTTGGATCTTGGCGGCTCTGCTTATTGGGAGCGTTCCCCTGCACTCAATTGGTATGTCTCGATCCCTGCTGTTTGCTCCCTTCGCTGCCTTCTTCGCTTCCTCGTCCGCCCTCTCGTTCCCTTCCACCCCTTTGTGTCCCGGTACCCATCTCATGAAAACCTTCGCTCCTTTCTGCCGTCGTACCACTCTTTGGACCTGCATGTGTAGTGCGTTGACTAGGTACTGCCCGGGGATCGCTCTCTCTCTTCTAGTCGTTTGGATTGCTGCTTGGTTGTCTATGACCATTGTGTACCTCTCGCACCTTTCCTGTGTCATCATCTTCGCTCCTATGGCCGCTCTGGCTAGCTCCACCTCGAAAACTGTGTGTTCGGTGTCTGGTCCCATGTATAGCCTCGCTGATCTTATCTCCACTCCGTTCCTGTATAAGACCGCCGCTGCCCCTACACCGCCTTCTATACTTGATCCGTCGGAGTATACTATTACCTCCGCTTGCTCTGTGTCATTCTCTGCTGTCGCGCTCTCCTTTGTCTGTGGTATCCATGCTCCGAATGCTGGGGTCCACTTGGGCCGGTGTCCCACAGTGTGTATTTTCTCCATTTTGTCCGGGACGAGGTTGAAGGCGTGCATGATTTCGTGTAGCGGCGACCGGTGGCGCTTCACATACCTCTTCGCCACCCTGCTGACCTTCTTCGCTAGTGGGTGGTCTAGAGGTAGACATGCTAGTCTCACCGCGGCTCTGTGTACATGCTTGGCTACTAGCAGCAGGAAAGGGAGTAAATTCGCGTGCGCGTCCAGTGTGTCGGTGGCTGTGGATCTGAGGGCTCCTGTTATGTCCAGCGCCGCTTGGCGTTGTATTCGCGCCAATTTGTTGATGTGTCCTTTGGTCCCCTTGTGCTTCTTAGTCGCTGGTATGAGAAACAGGTCAGCTGCGTATAGCATTCTCGGTACTGCAACCGCTAGGTAGTACGCTCTCATGTGCTTAGCTGCAATGCCCCCTGTTGGCTTCGCAAGTCTCCTGTATTGGCTTATATAGGCCTCTCCCTTCTTTAGTGCGTAGTTCGTGTGATCTTTTAACCTGAGTTCCTGATCCACTATTACCCCTAGGAGCTTGTGCGTTGTCGTCGGCTATATCACGTGCCCACCTAACGTTATTGACGGCATCTCTACTGGTCTTGTCTTGCTCGGTTTGTGTGGGTCTCTTTCTCTGTGTCTGGTGAGTCCCATTAATCCGAATTTCTCTATTGCAAATTGGCATTGATGCTTCTCGGCCCAGCTGTATGCCCCGTCTGTTC